GGGGGATATCCTCTTTCTGGCCAGGGAACTGAAGTATTGAAATAAAGTCAAATAACTGCTGAGTGTTTTAGCGAGAAATTGAATCCAATGTACTAGTGCTGCTGCCTCGTCGCTTCAGTTGGGAATGGAGATCAGTGGAAAACAATGGGAGCGCGGGGCTTAATGGGTACGGATAACGAATGAGGGACTGTGGAAAAGTCGGCTAGTGCTGTGCGCTTTTGAACCGAATGCAATAAAAACTCGCGGTGAATTTAATAACCTTCCCAAAATAGTTAGGCAACAAGCGTGGATTTCATGAATGAGCATAAAAATTCGTCCAATGGTTTGATTATTCGTCAGATCCGTCCACCCGACCTCGGGACATGACAGGCTTAGTGTATAGGCAAAACTAAGGTATGCTTTGAAAAAACAAGCTATAAGTATTCGTACGGATGTATAGACGATAGCATTGGTTACGAACAACGTACCATCGTATTTGACCATTAGGTTCGACGATCTTTCTGATATCATGTTTACTTGCGAAATGCAAGAGCCACTCATCTCTGACTTCAGGTTTGTCAATGTTGAACATCGCATCAGGGCAACTTACGGTAATTCTTTTCTGTTGCTTTACTTTCCAAAAGATGTCGTGGAAAACGCCAAAATCTAGGCTTTGTAATATAAACCAGTAATGTTATATTAAGTTATTTTTGAAGTTGGAGAGATCAAGCATATTCATCTCTCTTATGCCTCACATTTCAACCAATTTCTCTGGATGCAATTTGATATGTACACAATAAGAATTAAAAGCCAACCAAAGAAAACTAATATATTACACTGGACAACCCAATGAGTTTTAATCTTTTTCCCATAAGGGCCTGATACAGCAAGAGGAACTGAAATAAAACCGGTAGTAATTATAACCTGGAAACAATCTTCTCAGATGCTACTGAGTTTTGTCAAAATTTTAGAAAATTGCATGCTGCAGGAATCGAACCTTGGTCGTAGAGATGAAAGCTACATGCACTGACCACTGTGTCCCCCAACACCTCGGCATCAACTATTTCGCTGACCTCAGAATGACATTTCGTCAAAACTTTTTCTTCAAGATTGATTTAGAAACAAATTTGGAGTAGGATTAGGTTAGGGTAAGGGTTAGAGTTGGTGTTTGGAGTAGGGTTAGTGTTAGTAAAACCGTTGCTTTGTTACTTTTTGTCACTCTGAGGCCAGCGAAATAATCTCTTCCCAACTCCTCACGGTTCAACCGCGCAATACCCGTGAGCTGCATATATACCTGGAGTCAGAACTCGGGTCCAAAATGTGGAGCCAAGATGGAGGAAGATGGAGCTATTGGACATCTGTTTCAGTCCATTTCTATTGATTTTTTATGCGCGGTGGGACAGGAAGCTGCGAGGAGTGTGTCGAAATTTCGTGTTATGATTTTATGAAG